GCTGGGGAATGCTGGGGCGGGGCCTGCTCCGGCTTTGGCTTCGCCAGGCGTGAGACCCAGGGATTGCAGCATCAGGCGGTGGCGGCGTTCGAAGGTCTCCAGATCAGATGGCTGAGAGGCACAGAGCACCGCGAACCCCTGTCCTTGAAGCTCCATGACGATGTCTACAGGCCTGCTGGAAGGAGTCAGAGCGCGTCAGGGGAAGCTTTGGGTGCCTGGGGAGGCCCAGGAGGGGCCGTGCCCATCCTCCAGGTAGGGAAGAGAAGGGCTGCAGGCTCGGGGTGGGGCGCAGCTGGGAGACCGAAAACTTGAGCCACATTACATCTAACCTGTTTGCCTTTCCAGGCTGTTCCTCAAGGAGCAGAACCCAGAGCCTTGTTTCAGACCACACATTCCAGGTGAGAGACATGGCTCACTCTTGGGAGAGGCAGCTCTCATAGCTCTTGCCCCAGGAAAGAGAAGGCCTCCCACCTACCCTCAGTCTGAGCCTCTGGGGGCTCTTGTATTTAGCAAACCAAATCCCCAACTCCCCCACCCTCACCCCCTCAGCCAATCCCCATCCCCAACACTTTACTGTCTCTCTGGTGCAGACCCAGAGTTTCCTTCCTGGTCACTGTGGGGTCTCTGCCGCCAGGTTCCTGACTCAGAAGGAAGCTGCAGTGGTGTGTCCTGCAGAGGGTCCCCAGAGCAGGCCCATTGACTGTGAGCTCAGAGTCCCAGAGACCCACATTGTGTGTGCCCGGCTCCCTTCCCTTCCTGATGATGATGTCTTCCTGGAAGAAGTCCCGCTGGTCAGAATGAGAGCACCTCCAGACTCCCCTGCCCCGCCACGGCTCCCAGCCAGGTGAATTCTCCTTCGCTTTCAAGCAGAGTGAGACATCCCCTTCGCATACCTAGCTACACAAGGCCAGAGGGGCCGGGAACCCGCCCCCAGCTGGAGCCTGGGAGTCTGGGTGATGGGGTGGTGGCAGGTGGCCCTTGGAGATCACCACTGGTCTTCAGCCATAACTTTTTCTGATTCAGTGTTTCTTCCATTGCCAGTGTCCATGCTTCTGACTCACAACCTGGAGCTGGCTTGGGCCAAAGGCCTGGCAGGGCTACAGTTTCCCCAGAGCACCCCCTACCTGAATGCGTAGAGAGTGCAGGGACAGATGACTGCTGGCCCACATGCTGTGGTTCCCCTGGGACTGCAAATGGTGACGTCCCAACCCACGACTGCACTGGACTGCTGACGACAGACTTCCCTGCAGCTGTAGAGCGTGACTCCCTCAAACCTCTCCCAGTCGATGCCCTGGGACCTCCAGGCAGTGACACCCAAGGGCCTCCCGATGACACTGCCTGGGCTTGGGGCCCTGTCCAGCCTGATTCTAAGCCGACATGGCCAAGTCCACGCCTGGAGCAGCTGGTTCAGGAGCTTGCCAGACTGGATCCCTCTCTGAGTGACACTCTCACATCCTATCCCAGCCCAGAGCCACCTCTGGATCTGCTGGATGGGCTGATCCCTTTAGCTGAGGTCTGGGCTGCAATGAGACCAGCCGGTGGCAAGGCTGGAGAGGAGGCTGCTGGTATTTCTGAGCCAGGGTGAGTGGGGGGCACCAGGGACTCGGGGACCCTAAGCCCCTGCAGTCTGGGGCAGGACAACCCAGGGAGCTCCCTTTATCCCCGTGTCCCATCTATCTAGTTCCACCCAGGTCCTGCCAACTTCTCAGGAGGAAGCAAGGCCTGAAAATCTTACCCCTCCCCCTGTGTCTGACCAGCCATGTGGCCAGGGTCTGCCTGAGCCAAACTGCAGCATCCAAGCTAAGAAAGTGAGTGTGGTGGGGTGGCTGGAAGCTGGGTGGGACAAGAGACCTGAGTTTGGCCTGAGATGTCAGGGGCCTGGCCGCAGCCTTCAGTAGCCACGCCTTCCCTGCAGGTGGAGCTCGCGGACCTCCTGCAAAAGATGCTGCGGAGCCTTCAGGCGGAGCAGGAGCAGCTGCAGGGGACAGCCCAGACCTGGGCCAGGCGCGGGGCTGCGCTGGAGGCTGCAGG